AGATGTGCGCTATGGAAAATCACCTTTGTCAACCTTCTCTCCAACTCAAATAAATTCAAAAAGAGGCTGTGGAGACAGAATCAGGCTCTGTGGCAGTGACATTGACTCACTGGAGCTGCCTTGGTATTTCCTGTATTGGAACTGGTGAGAACTATGTCAAAATCTCAAACACAAATACACAACTGATGAGAACCTCCAAGGACCCTTTAGTGGCCAATCAACATTCCACATAAACAGCAGAGCAATGTAAGGCTATGGAAACAGTGAGAAGACTTCATATTTTATCTTACTAACTAAACAAAAAAGGCTCAAGATTGGATTGACCGTGATTACTTTCAGTCTTTTACATATGTGCCAAAGTAATTGAATTGGCTGTGCAACTGAATATATGGGGCACAGGAGACGCAGTGGGATGACACGTGGGACGGGATGAGTTCTGAGGAGCCGCAAGTGCATTGTTCTGTTTGGTTTCTCGTTTGAAAGACAGGAGTTGACCTTTAAAGCAAGTCAATGGAATCTTTCCAACAACAAACCTCAAAACCTTCCTATTTGAAATGAAACGTTGAATTCAAGAGCAACAGGATGCACCTTTTGTGAGTTCACTACTCTGCTTTTTCTGCAACATCACTGGGTCAAGTATGGCCAGTAGCTTATTTATGGCTAATGTCAGATAGTGTTTGCCTACATGAGTGTGTGTCTGCTGCCGGGGACACTGTACCTGGGGACATGCTGATAATTGGAGATTGGTCACTGGTGAACTGTTTGCAGCTATGCGTTTTTGCAAAGTGAGGTATTTTAATGAGCTTCACAGAATTTACAGAGGAAGTTGTGGTAGATAACTGGGTCAGACTTCATCCTCGGAGATCTTTCATTTTGCACTATTGGGTTGGTTAGGTTTAAACTACAAAACTACTGGATTAGATTTAGGCTAAAAAAAACTACTGTATCAGGATTAGGCTACAAAACCACTGAATTAGGTTTAGGTAACAAAACTACTGGTTACGGTTTAGGCTACTTTAGGTTGTAACAGTGATGAGTGATGAGGGACAATGTGAGGAGCAGTAGATAACAGGCTCTCTGCTCTGCAGCACAAACTTATCTCACTGCTCACACTTTATTTATACTCACACTTCCTCAATCATGTCCTCTGCCTTTTGTCAGTGTGTATATGCTCTATGTGGTCACTCCATGGCTCAACTTGTAGCTGTTACACTTTAATAGAGTATATTTTAAGTCGAGATTGAGTATGAAGTTTTGACCAATGATCAGATTTTATTTTGTGTAAATCATTGATCAGTTTTTTTGACTGTACAAACATGAATTGCATTTTTACTCAGTATGGTGATTTAAAGGTGCATGTGAAAACAAACTACTTTTTGAAATAAATCTGAACAGATTTAATTTCTGTCATTTTTGGCTTTATTTAGACAGACGTAGTGAAATTTGACACAGGGTGAGAGACGCACAGTAAATGGTCCAAATGCTCAAGGCGTATTTGCCCACGTACCTCAACCCATCTGCTATATTTGACACTATTTATAATACTGTGGGCTGTGTTTTCTGATCTGAGGCAAACCAGATGGATTAATCAAACTCATCCTATGCAGTTTTTTAACAGTACTTTTTTTTACTTTAATTTCGATGATGCAAAGGCACATGATGACTCCCAAGCCACCTCCAGAGTAATTTGCATTTACTCATGATAGAAGCTATTTTTTAGTCCGTCAAACTTTCCTTGTTGAAGGAACCAACAAATACAACCTACTTGTGTGTATGGGCGTCAAAATTGTCGGTCTCAAGATATTCAAACTTCTCAAAAGCTTTTTCAGGAAGGAAATGCACTCAACATGTCTGTCAGGTCTCCATGACACACTCAGTGAGTAATACTGAAAGTAAGCGTTACTTTAATTCAATTTAAAATCAGCCTAAAGAAACAGGTTTTATGGGATATGCATTGTTTTTATCGTCAGCACAAAAAATACTATGGTAAAAGCTACACTAATAATAGGTTCATGGTATTTTAAAAGTATTCACGATTTTCTGGAGCCATTTGAGGGCATCAAAACATCCTGCGAACACAACATTTACATTTTAATGTATTTAAAAATATCTAAAACAATAGACACTTAATGCTCCACCAGTTTGCCCTCTGCTGTTTGCTGCTGAGCAGGTAACAGTGAGCCTTTATTTACTGAGAGCAAACGCCTGCTGCTGGAAACAAAGCTGATGAGAGTGGTGAGACCGAACAAATACATTCAAGTTGCAGGTCGTAAAACCAAATGAGCTGAAAGTCATTAAAATGCTCCTCACCACTCGGGGGAAACTGTTGGTTGTGTGCTGGGTGATAATTCTTCTTGTTGCTATGAGCAACACATTACATTGTAAATGTATCAATAGATATATTATGAATAGAGCTGCAGGTTTAAAATACATCTAAACATCTTACTCTTCTAAATGAGAATTCACAAAACGGTTGGGAAAAGTCCTTCTGCTGCTGCAAGCCATTATTTCACAATATCTATTTCTTCATTGATCTATTACTTCCAAATTGATCCATGTCTCAGATCTACTGGCCATGGACTCTATTTTCGGTTTTCATACTCTCTTAAGTCTCTTCAAGGGTTTTTTGCAGACATCATGAACTACCATGGCCTCTCCTGTCTGACGTGAATTAATAACCCTCAAAAGTCAATGACTAATGACACGGACTGATAACACAAATGGCAGATGGTGAATTAGACCCCCCCCCCCCCCAGCTTCCTTGGGATGTGAAGAGGATGCTGCCACTTCTCCATGCCAGCCTCCTGCTGTCCATGGCCTCATGACTGTCTGACTCCTGCTCTCAGATGACACAAACAGACACATCAACAGCACACGAGGAATCCCAAAATAGCTCTATGAATGAAAAAAAGAGATGCATTCCAATAGAGACCTTATAGAGCAGAAGTGAGATTAGTCATCAACCAAGTTTTCCCCCTAAACAAGCAATGAATAAGATGAGCTCACTGAGTTGTTTGTATGAGAAAATATCTGGATGATGCATATCCTTTTCCGCTCCCTCTACAGACAGTTCCTGGGAAGATTAGGCTTCATATTAACATTAACCACGTTTATGCTTATTTGAAGCATTTTCCAAACAAAGACCCCCAAACCAAATATTGACTGGCCTGGTAGGCCCCACTCTGAGAGATAACTCTAATGCTTCCCCCATCTGTTGCTGCTGGCTGCCAGTGTATTCCCATTTAGTTACTGTGGGAGTCCTGTGACCAACACTGGCTTACAAAGATGAAACGGTGTGACTACATCCCACTGTTAATGTCTTGGTCAAGCTGCAAAACAGATTTAGAAGTGCACCAGCGTAGAGTTTTACAAACTCAAAATTCAAGAGCAATTCTGCAGCATCCAGCCTGGTTAGTGAGCTGAGGTTACAGAGTTGTCCAGCTGGAGTGAGATTTCAACTGAGAGTGCACGAGCCAGAGCAGTGTCAAACCAAAGGTACACATGAGCAATGCAACAGATGTGCACTAGGTATTAAAGATTAAAAACAAACAGGCAGGCATTTTCCTCAGCCGTGTTTTAACGTCAAAAGCTTTTTAAAATGTGGGAAACCAAAATTTGCAAGACACACTTGCAAAGTGCAACATTCAAAAACTGAAACTCACACCTAATGTCTCAATTATATGTTTCTGAGCAGACTGAGATGTTAAATTCACTTCTGGAGGCCTTTGTGTTAATGAGGCTCATAAAGTTTCCCTCTCAGCTCTGTGTCAGGATCAGGCCTCTCAGGTTACAGCCTACAGTAGAGCGGGTCACAGGGGCTGTGTGTAGAAATAGGTGGTAGCTGACACCGCAAGTTAAAGTGAAATCCAAGCAGGTGGTCTATACAAGGACATTCCTCTGCGTGAGCAACAGCCGACAGCAGAGCATATACAAAAGACATCAAGGTATAAATTCAAAAAATGCATCATCAGTCATTCTAAATAAAACCTGAGCTGTGAAAACAGCATTTTGAGGTGAAACAGTTCGAAGCCTGAGCTGATGGAGTGGCAGCAGCACTCACCATGTTTGCTGAACGGCTTTGTTTAGTTTTCCACACAGAGAAATGAGTGCGTCCACAGAGGGTCCGTTTTCAATGAGCCATCAGCAGCAGCAGTGTGTGTGAGAACTCTTGGGGATTTACTCCTCCTGTGTGTTTCTCAAGCATATTGTCTGAGCTGTCACTGAGAGGCAGACTCTTTTACACCCTGGGCGGGGAAACCAGGGTCCATGCCATTGACTGAGCTGATTTCCTGCAGCCCCATTGGCCAGAGATACCCCCCTTCTCTGCAGCTGCCCCACCCCAACAATGTTTTTTGCCGCACCCCCCCATTCCATGCACACTCATATACTTCATCTTTCTTGTGAAGGAGAATTACATTACTGAGTATCCAAGTATTGTTCCAACTAACTGAGGGGATTTTTATGACAAAATTTGACTTTGCTTCCTCTTTTCTTAACTCTGACACATTCCTTCGCACGAGCATCAGATTTATGAAGCAGGTTTGAGGGGGAGGTGGAAGTTTGTTTGCGGTAAATTCTCGTTGATGTCTTTGTTGTTGTCTGGGCGACACAGACAGTGGCGTCTGGGAGAGTGGTGTTGGGGGTTGGGGAATGTAGAGGGGGTGACAGGGTCAGGGTGAACTTTTAGTCTGAGGACGCAAAGGAAGGCAAATCAGGAGCTTTGATAGGTTTTACATTCTTCTTTTAACTTGTCACTAATGATATATCTATATCGATATGTATATATCGATATAGATATCTATATAAATCCAGTAAGTTTAAACTTATTTTAACTGACCCATCCTGACTGGAACTGGCTTATGAATTTAGTTCTCAGACACAAACTGCACCCTGCAGGTTCCTCACTTTGTGCAACAACAACTGTGGTCTTAAAATATCTACAGGATATTACCATAGCTGCAGTTAGTTGTGTGATGTCTAAGGGCAACTTCACCGTCAAATTCACAGAAGGGGCTTCTTGTTTTAATAGTTTAATAAAAAGAAAAATCACAACCAAGGACATTGAGAAAGTATAAAAGTGGAAAAGATAACAACCCAGCTCTGCGGTCAAAATGACGACAAACGTTTTGAGAGGCAAAGGTTACACATGAAGTTTCCACAAGGTCAGAGGAAGTTTAAAAGTCCAAGTGAAGTTCAGTGTATCAGTCTCCATTCATTTCTTCAAATCTGACTTAAAACAGTCAGGCCCCCATACGGACACTGACACAGGTATTCCTTGTTCTAAGTATTCTTCATCTCCCTGCTGGCCTTCACTTTAAGTCAAAGGGAAAAACATCTGCAGGTAATGTACATTGTGATTCTTATGGAGATTTTTTTTTCCTCATGAATGTGGTCTTCCAGTTTGAGAGGACCGATTTCACATTTTGTTTTTGTAATGCTTTCACTCAAAACCCTGCGCTTACACTCAAATATATCTGCTTGTTCTTAGATTTCCTTCGCTCCAGCTCTTCTCACGCTCACGGTGCTTCTTTGTGCTCTGACGTCTCGGATGTCTCCTCCGCTTTCTGATTTTTTCATGCTTCAAAATTTCCCAAACAATAGAATGCCGGGTGTAGTGCTGACAAGTGAAATTGTCTCAACCTCGTTGTGAATGTGTTTGCTTTACGTCATTGAGAGTCCCGTACAGGTAGTAACTTTAACCAAGTTCATGCACTCACGCCCTCCACAGCTTTATCATTACAATGGAGCGCATGAAATCTAAACACAAGCAAAGTATATTTGAATGCTAATGAGTGGTTTTGAGTGAGAGCAATACAAAATGTGATGTGAAAGATCAGGCTCTTAAATAAAGATAGGAAAAAGACCCATAGATTCTTATCTATAAGAATTATACTGAAAAGCCTACATGGATTCATCAAATCAAGTGGGTATGCTCTTTTTAGTATAGAATTCCTTAAAGCAAAATCTGTCTCAGTGCACATCCAGGGAACTGAGTGTCACTTCAGATGACATGACAACTGTTTTACGAAGAACTGCCCCACAAACTTTAAATTCAATCAAAATGTAAGATGCCACAGATCAACAGAAAGTGACAAGATCACCGAGGTTATGAATTCAGCAGAAGAGTCCAACATTCCGATTGAGTCTCTGTTCAGGTGGGAGTATGAGATGGGGAGGAACATCGGTAAAGTGGAAACACGGAACCGCGATGCGTCTCAGTCTGTGGTGGTGCGGCGGTACCAGAAACGAGCCCTGAAGTCATCGCTACAGGTCATGAAGCCCGGATTGGTGGGCGAGTGGACGATGCAGCGCACGATGTTGTTGTGTCCCAGAGACAGCAGGTTTTTCCTCTCAGCCGTGCGCGAGTCCCAGCAGCACAGGCTGATGGTGCGCTCGTCAGGCAGCAACACGTAGTCCTCCGTGTGGTTGAACACGCCCTGTGTGCGATGCATCTGACGTCCGCTCAAACCTGCACCTGTAACAGCAGGAAGACAGACAACACGTTGTTTCACCACTACGACAACACAACTGAAATCAAATCAGTGCTCACTGCCAATATTTAAACTGACAATTAATGTTTGTTTGTTTGGGATGAAGTCTGTTCACAAGCTCTGCATGAGGAGGAATTACATTTTCGCTTGTTTGTGGTGTAATTTGGCTTTTTGACCTGTGTTCACTGACTATGTCTGCAGAACTGGAAGAACAGAACAGCCCTTATTCATGTCCATGCATTATTCCATGGGGGTTAGCTGTCGTGATAACCTTGCAGCGTGTGAACATATCTCAAGCAGATCATTATCAAGTCAAACTAAATACAAACTTTTTATAGCTCTGATAAAATGAGCTGAATTTATTTTGTTAGTGTTAATAATTTTATTTTGGGTGTGTGCTGTCGTGGCAACCTCTATAGTTCTCAACGCTGGTGCCATCTCCTCCACATTAATCCCTACAGAGGAATGATTTCGGTTTTCTCACACCAGAATCAGAGAGAAAAGCTGCTGTGGTCCATCTCTGCTCCAGCAGCAACAAGGCCGTGCTGCTAAGGGTTAGTGTAAGAAAAGCTGTAATAACCCACAGTGCCGGTCAGTGTGAAGCACTTGTTAACACCATTATTCATGGCCAGCTGCAGGGAATGGGCTACACAATACACACTGGCACTAACAACCTTCCCAACTTTTCAAGACACAAACATCATGTAGTTGCTCTGGCTGAGTTGCTATGGTACTACTGCCTTGTCTTGGCCGTGTGCTTAGGCTTGTTGTACTGCTGGAATTTGAACCTTCAGTCCAGTCTGAGGTACTAAGCAAGGTGCTCCGACTGGAGTCCAGTCAGGATGTAGAATCATCTCAAAGATGATCAAGAGGAATGGGAAGCACTACATTTCAATATTTATTTATTGTAAAGTGAGTGAATTCTCATGTCAATGTTTTATTTCTTAGGGTTATGACTGCAACATGACTGAATAATACAATATGAATGAATTGTATACAAGCAAGTGTTTATAGATGTCAGGCCACAGAAGAGTGGTCATGATAGAGCTTCTCTTATTTAGCAGAGATGGTTTCAGAAATGGTATCTGACAACCCGGCCTCTGGTAGGAGGTGAGACTTTTTAATCATCAGTCCTCCACAACTGTAGCTGCCTTCAGGTCCAGGGGGCGAACATCCGTCACCAAATCAGTAACTTCATAATTTGTTTCCTGGCAGTGGTTAGCATTGAGAGATTGCTCATGCCCTGCATTACTGCATCTTCAATGGTTTTGCAACTGTCCCTGAACTACTCTACCTTTTTCCCTTATACTTTCTATTTATGTTGTACATGACTAACTTTTGAGTGACCTTAAAGTTATAATTGAGTGGAACACCACACATTTTGGAATACAAGAGAGGAAAAATCTTTTCAGAGTTGAACAATCTGTATGTGAGTTTTAGCAGGTACAGGACAACTGAGGTCAGGAACTTCAACCCCCACCAACCAAATTAGCTGTGGTTTCTAAAGGAAACAAGAATATTTTGTTCCATCTCTATAAGCTGCATCATGCATCATGACGAGGGCATCGTATGAAAAAAAGCACCTAAGGGAAGTAACACATAATGAATCCTGTGGTAACTTTCAAATACACCACATCCGCACTGATGTGTTCAAAAGAAAACTGAAATACTCAAGTTTATAACTGATATTAACAATTTCTGATCTGTTTGATTCTTTTACAGACTGATGTTTAATAAAATGTTATAAGTGGCAGGTGATGTTACTAAGTGGAAGCACTTCTTCACTAACTGGCTAGGGGGCACTGCTTTCCACCTTTGTCCTCAGGTTAATGCACATCCTCAGCATCAACCATGAATGTCAGTTTGGTGAGGACTGGTCAGTATAAAAGAAACTGAAAAAGTGGGTTGTAAGGTTTTGAGATCTTAAGTTCAGCTTATATGTTGCATGATGGTGACATTTTTTACTAACATGTTATAAACAGGTTTTTATATTTGGAGATTTACAGACACTGTTTTCTCTTCTGCAAGTGGAATAGCTGTCTGTCTCTCACACACTATTTCATTTCTCACTGTTATTGTCAATTTGCACTGCTCAGTTTTGCACAATCCTCACCTTATTCACCTCATTCACCTTTTTTTGCCTTACTTTTAAACAGGTTTCATATCATTATTGTATTTTATGTAAATATTGTATTTTAATGTAAATTTTGGCCAGCTGGTATTCCAGAAAGGACAGCAAAAGAATTTCAATTCACAGGGGAACGTGTGTTCTCGTGTGTATTTGACAATAAAAATCTTTGAATCTTTGAAGGTCACAATGTGGTTAGTTTTCAGATATATGGGATCTATACTATATATCTGTTAACGTGGTTCTTTTGCTGCAATATTGATTTCCCTGCTTGTGACTAATAGTTCCTTATCATCATTTTGTTCTAAAACAACAAGATAGTGTTTGTCTTGTTAAAGGCAGGAGCAGTGAGCCTATGTATGGACAGCATTAGGAGCAGAGATGATATGTTCTGACTGCTCCAAGCTACTTTTTTGTTCTTTTTCAGGTGCACTAGTAGTTTAATATCATAGCTCATTATCTATAAAACAGCAACTGATACACTGCGCTTCCATTCATCATTTATAATTTGCTCCTTCCACTTGTTCTGTGTAAAAGATTAGTCATCCTGTTTTAATTACTCTATCTGCCCCTGATACTGTTATTTGTTGTGACAGTATAATTGTCTCTATATTCTGTTCTTGAATTAAAAAATATGGAAATATTCATGTCAATTTTTTTCTACAAACATAGTAACA